TCTTCCTGCCTATTTGTTTCACAATGGGTTCCTGCTGGGTTGGTTCGCTCATTGCCAGAGATCCCTGTTGCTGATCTTTTCTGGCCATCCATCTGATCTTGAGTATTGAGCGAAGACAACTGTTAATGAAGGTCTGAAGTTTGTTTGAGATGCTCATTATGATGCGCCAAATCTCCGATCCGTATAGTGAGTAGCACTGACTTCACATTGGAGTTGAAAATCCGGATCTTATTTTTGATGGTGAGTGTTGTTGACCCTCAGACAGACTTGAGAGTAATGAAAGCTTGTCTTGCTTTTCCAGGTAGGTGAAGGAGGTTGTTTCTTTCAGGTTCTTCCCACTTATGCTGATTGTTGTCTGTCGTTGTTGCTGTTGTTGATGTTGGCTAGGAATCTTCATCATCTACCTCTGTTTTATCTATGTTCACTTGAAGTCCTATCTTTGATGCTTCTTCTGTCAACTTGTTACTTTTCACTTGCATATCTTCCAGTTTATGGGAAATCAGACATATATCATCGGCGAAATCCAGATCCTCCAAGTCTTTTGTGTCAGTCCATTTTATGCCTGTTCCCTCGTTGTATTCGACTACTACTAACTCATTCCTAGCTTAATCTGATTTCATTGACAGAATATATACCATGGAAATATGAATGTAGATGGAGTATATAATGAGTAGTGCATGCATTTTTTAAGGTTTCTTGTTTATTTGACTGATAACGCGGTTGGATGGAATTTAATTGACTACTTATTTTTCTAACGATCTACAAGTCCTTCTATTTTATGCTGAAATCTATGATGAAAAGTTAACACTTTCATATATCAATTTTATCGATTAATTTTTCTTTTACGTGTTAAGTTCCTAGGGGCAGTCTGTGCGTAGAGTTGCCCAGTCAACTACAGGAGACAGGACCGCTGACGAATGTGTGGTACACACATTAAACGCGAAGCTGATTAGCCATAACTAAAAATCTGTATATGTATAACAATATCAGTTATCATGAACCTCAGTCAATAGTCAGATCCTATGACTACGTTGGACCGATATTTAGAATATCCCCTTTTTACATTCAGAATGATTATCGTATCTGTTTATTTCCATTTATATTAACGCAGCCTTTATTGAATATGATATAAATTCATAGAAAGATATATATATATATATATATATATATATAAAGCGATTTGACAGAGGTTACTTCTTGGCTTCATTTATCTGTCCAGGAAGCACGGTTTCAACCACAGGCAGTAGGATTGCATGCATGAAGATTTCAAAGCAGACCAGTCAGAGTCGGACAGGCAAGATACGCCTTCATCAACCTGAAACCAGTTTGGAAATCTTCTGCTCCACTCTTTCGGCTTTGAGAACAATATTCGAATTCTGTTTAACACCAATGTGAAGTCATTCCTTCTATACTGGTTAGAAACTTGACCAGCGTGTTACGAAAAGGATTTCTAACAGCCTGTTGTGTACTTTTATCAACAGCTACTCTCATCACTGGCTCCATATTGAAGATCATATGGTCAGTTGGTCGGCCAGAAAGAATTAGCAAGAAGAAACTCTGTCTGGGAACAAACCACCAAGAAAGAGCCTATTGCTCAACAAATATTTAGGTGGAAGTGGAGATGGATGGATTGGGATGTTGTATGACATAACGCTGAATGCAGGCCATCGTTTGTGTGGTATCTCAATAGGAAGCGACGAGTGGGTTGTCAGTGCTAGGATGTCAGTGCATGGAGGAGGTCTTTTGAGTTGGAGGATGAGGAGATGAGAGATTATGAGCAATCGTGGATCCAGTCATCTGAAAAGGACAGCAATGGGTAGAAGAATGTGGAATTGTGTTGTTGTTGTTGTCGTCGTCGTCGTCGTATTTTGCTCTCAGAACTCAAGGGAGTAATAATATAATGATGTATAATACAAAGTCCACTGTTTCAACGAGATGTAGGTTGGATGAGGATTTCATAGCCAGTTAGAATCAGGTAAGCAACACAGTTGGCATGGAAATCCATAGCGATCAATACAAGAAACAATATTTGAATGTTTAACACCAAATATCAAGTCAGCGTGTCTACACGCCTCATAGACTTGACAAGCGTGTCATTAACAGCATTTCTAACAGTCTGATGCTGACTTTGATGATCACCTGCATTCGGTCAAAAGTGAAGATTAGATGAACCGCCAGAAGGAATAAATATCTCAAAGAACTCTTAGAACGATCTAATCACGAAATTTATGCTCAGTGCATATTCAGAATAAAATGGAGATGGATTGGATGCATGCTGAAGAGACCACCGACTGACGCCATAGCATTAAATGGGAAGCGAAAAAATGGAAAGTATTCAACGGTGACACTGGATAAGACCATGTTTAGAAGAATTGTAAACTTGTGGGCGGCTGTGAAGACGGTTGAAGCTGAAAAAAAAACAGTCAACAGGAGTGGAGATCTGCCTCCAAAGCTCCATGTTTTACAAGCAGGATGAGGAATGGATAGTAACACTAACTGAATAAATCCGTTTAAAAAATGCTCATTGAGTTGTTTTTCAAAAGAATGGTTACTTAACGAAGAATATTCTTTTCGATAACCTGCTCTTCATCATTAGGTTCTACAATTATATGCATTATCCGTAAGAATGAATGAGTGAATTAGTGTCATTAACAACATCAGTGTTGTTGAAATAACATGAAATCAACAATAATATCAATAGATGTGGATAAGAAAGCACATGAACATGACCATATACGCATTTTCATAGTTTTGCACCTGTCCACTACAAAAGAAATTTAGTTAGGACCCTCAACCACAGGTGGTGAGCTTTAGTCTCATAAAAAAGAGGTAATTGAGGATGAACTAAGGATTGTATACGATACCTTGATTTAAAATAGCTATCCAGACAGATTCATCAGGAAACATACTACTACGAAAGTTGAAAAGGACTATTCACTATCCGTAAACAAGAAGCCTTTATACAAACGACCGCAATTCAAGGGTAATGCACTTAATGAAATAATTATGAAGAAAATAAAATTAATCAGTTCAAATGATTTTCAATGCTGGCAAATTATAAGTCATATTTTCTACACCACTGGTGATGGTCCCCGAAATGAAGGACTAAGTACCTAGACTAGCCACTTCTAGTTGTATCTACCAATTCAACTATGTCTCTGGTGGAGCGAATTATATTGACCGTTACTCTAGGAACTTGATTTTTCGTGCTCGCTTGGGAACATCTACCAGTGCGGCTAAATAAAGGTGTAGTACAAACCACCAACAGTTCGATATTAGATCGCCTGGTCCAAACTGGCCACAAAGCCAACATTGAAGAATCCTTCTTTATGATCTATCGGGCACCAAATAAATTTCCTACAACATCGAGGTAACGCATTCTCCAAGTAGCAGAGGCTATTGCAATTCACATAGAACAACTGGTTCTCTGTATGCAGAAGAAAGATCTCCAGACAGCCACTACTTCTGCTCTGGCTAGCCTTCAGTAGAAACTAGAAATTCATGAATTTGTATTATTATCTTTCTTAATTTTTCTGATATTCAGTGTACCGTAATGTTGATGCTACTGAAGTTTAATCCAATGATATTGTTATTTTCAGAATTTCATCATGAGCTGACATTAGTTAGAAAACCATTGGAAAACCCGCAAGGAGTACTGGACACCTGTTTCGTCCTAGTTTGGGACTCTTCAGCAGTACGCACCCACCGGGATTCGAACCCAGGACCTTCCGGTTACAAGGCGAGCTCGTATACCATTAAGCCACTGGGACCCGATCCAAATCCAATGGTCCTTGAATTCTAACTTCTTCCAATTCACGACATAGCGCAACTGCTAGCCAATTTCTTCGGCGAGTATTTGTCCTCACACACGACCGGCTGCACCCTACCGGTCACGACTTCCCACTGGAACCCAGGTAACTACCTACCTGAATAGGGCCAGTCGCCAGTGAGCATCTCATTGGTATTCAAGTGATGGTTTGTAGGGATTTGATTGAGAGATGCTCAATGGCGACTGGCCCTATTCAGGTAGGTAGTTACCTGGGTTCCAGTGGGAAGTCGTGACCGGTAGGGTGCAGCCGGTCGTGTGTGAGGACAAATACTCGCCGAAGAAATTGGCTAGCAGTTGCGCTATGTCGTGAATTGGAAGAAGTTAGAATTCAAGGACCATTGGATTTGGATCGGGTCCCAGTGGCTTAATGGTATACGAGCTCGCCTTGTAACCGGAAGGTCCTGGGTTCGAATCCCGGTGGGTGCGTACTGCTGAAGAGTCCCAAACTAGGACGAAACAGGTGTCCAGTACTCCTTGCGGGTTTTCCAATGGTTTTCTAACTAATGTCAGCTCATGATGAAATCCTGAAACCAATCAAATCCCTACAAACCATCACTTGGATATTGTTATTATTATTGATTCGATGTTATTTAAACAACATTAATGTTGTTAATAATACTAATTCATTCATTCATTGTTATGTTATAACTGTAGTTCCTGATGAAGAGCAGTTTATCGAAAATGTGAATATTCTTTGTTCAGGAACCATCCCTTTTAAAAAATGATAAATCTGTGATACCATAAAATCTAGAAATAATTATTGAAAAATTCATTATGTTTTAGTCACAGGATTTCATCATGAGCTGACATCGGTTAGAGAACCACTGGGAAACCTGAAGGCAGTACTGAACACCGAGCTGTTTCGTCAGCCTAGTTTGGGACTCTTCACCAGTGTGCACCCACCACAGAGGGTTTGAACCCAGGACTTTCTCCTTACAAGGTTGGTGGGGTCGTAGACTACTACCCCACTGTGATGAGATCCAATGGCCAACCAATGAATTCCAACTTCTACCAATTCATGATATGAAGTGACCACTAGCGAATGTCATCTCTGGCGAGTATTTGTCCTCACACCCGACATGCTGCACTCTGCTGGTCATGATAATTGAAAATAACTGAAAATATACAATAATAATAATAATAATTCCTAATAAATGTATCAATAACTTACCAAATAGAACTGACAGCCATAAATTTAATCAAAAGTATTCTTTTCGCTGACCATTTAATACATGTATATGAAGATATAAAGATGTATACAATATAACTGCACAGCTGTAAGCCTAGATAAACAAATCCAGGACTAGAATGATAACGTGAAAACACATGGACTTCATAATGTGTCTGAATGAGAAATAAAACAAACAAGACATAACACATTACAATATCTTTATATTATTATTATTATATTATTATTTTTCCTTTAATTCCTAGAGGAAGATAGGGCTTCAGCCGCCCGTCTCAGTTGCGTTCTGTTCTCTGTTAGACTTTTCACCTGGCTCCAAGTGTGCCCACACACTTTCGTCTCCTCTTCATATGACCTCCTCCAAGTCACCCTCGAACTGAGGACCAACTCGCCGCTTCCAATCCCACCGGGTTCCACTTGAGCGATGGCTTGTCTAGTGATGTCACTTGATGGTTTCCTCAGAGTATGGCCAGCCAATCCATCTCCATTTCTTCCTGCCTATTTGTTTCACAATCGGTTCCTGCTGGGTTGGTTCGCTCCCAGAGATCCCTAATGCTGATCTTTTCTGGCCATCCATCTGATCTTGAGTAGTGAGCCAAGGCGGCTGTTGATAAAGGTCTGTGCTCTTCATGACGCGCCAAGTATCTGAGTCACATAGTGAATATCACTGACTTCACATTGGAGTTGAAAATCCGGATCTTGTTCTTGATGCTGAGTGCTGTTGACCTCCACACAGACTTGAGAGTAATGAAAGCTTGTCTTGCTTTCTTGATCCTCTCTTTGATATTCTTGTCAGTTCCGCCCACCTGTAGTTGAAACGATGCTTCCCAGGTTGTTAGGTAAACGAGGTTGTTTCTTTCAGATTTCTCCCATTTATGCTGACTGTTGTCTGTTGTTGTTGGTGGTGGTGGTGGTGTTGGCCAGGAATCTTCATCACCTCTGTTTTCTCTGTGTTCACTTGTAGTACTTGCTATCCATGATGCTTCTTCTGCCAACTTGTTGCTTTTCACTTTCACATCTTTCAGTCTGTGGGAAATCAGACATATATCACATTGGCGAAGTCCAGATCCTCCAAGCTTTTTGTGTGGGTCCATTTTATGCCTGTTTCCTCGTTGCTCGCCGTCGTCTGTCGCATTATCCAATCTACTGCAATCAGAAAATTCATTGGCGATAGTAGACAGCCTTGCCTTATGTAATAAATAATACTTTTTTTCCAAGTGTTAGTTTGTAGGCGTTTGATTGGTTTCAAGTTTGGTCATGCATGGAGTTCACTTTGAGAATCCATGAAAAACCAGGGAGTTATGGACAGTTAGTTGCCTCAGCCTAGTTTGGTACTCTTTAGCAGTACTCATCCATAAACTCAGTGGGGATCGGAGCTAGCTCCTATCACTTCTCTATGGTATTTTGTTTCCTTGAATACTGATCTGAGTATGGTGCTTTTTGGGTGTGATTATGTAACAACAGAAGACAAGGGCCAGGCACCAGGTCGTTTATTACGGAAATCAACACATATTTATAGATTTTCATGTACATTAATATCGATTATTTAAGCAAACAAACACAGTCCTCTGATTGGTTGTTTCTCACAGAAAGTTAATCTTACATCTCTTTGTGGCTGTTTCTTGAATGTCAGACCACCTATATGCTAACTGTATCCGCCTACGCAAAGTCTTTTTTCCTCATTTTTCTCACGACCAATATTGGGGACATAAACATTGACGCAAATTACTGTCTACCAGCTTTGGCTAGCAACCAGGTCTCACCACAATTATACATCGGACAGTTGGGATTATTGTCTATTGTTAGGCATCTCCACTTATTACCAATGATTTGATTGAAGGTTGTATGTGAGTCAATGAAGAAATTTACTTTTTAATCACACACAACATTGGGCTGTTTAACAAATTCGGTAGATAATGATTAACAGTGGAATCCACCGAGATGAGCGTTTCATCCTGTTCAGGACTCATTTTGTTATTTTTTTTTTTTGATTTACAGCTTGATTCCACACTGTATTTTTGGTACAAGTATGGAATTTTCAGCATGTGATATCGGTAGCCCAAATTTTGCAGGCCGACCATAGATATCAGATGTGCGTCGGTGCGGGCTCGAACCCCGGACCATGCGCATGGTCGGTGAGAGTCCTAACCACTGTGCCACCGACGCACATCATCAGCTCATTGGAGAATGCAGATACACCCAAATGACGAGTCCCAAATAAAATGAAATGCACATCCTAGTGGATTCCATTACAAGTCACCATCCATCCACCAAATTTTTTCAAGTTAATCCTGAGATACTGTTGAAGCGTCCCCGCTACGAGCCAACATGTCAACCAGCAGAGGCCGGATATTTCGGTCGAATTGGTCACCGGGAAAATCAAAACTGAATTAAAAATATCTAATTCAATCTCAAGTGGACATGTCGGCTTCTTGTGAAGATACTTTGACGATGTCTGGTCATGTTGTGAGAGCTGGCTGCGAACGAGCCAAAATTGTAGATACCAATTCACGTCAATGTTACGTCCTGAATCGGGATCATGAGAAAAACAGCAACAAAGCTTAACCTTCAGGAACTCACCAACCAATCACAGCAGACCTAATGTATGCGAATACGATTCGCAGATGTGCGGCTTAGCTTTCTGAGGAACAGTCACGAGCAGTACAGAATAACCTTCAGAAATTTAGACTAATCAGAAGACTTTGCTTCTCCGCTGACGATAAAGTACATAAAAATCTATAAATTTCTCCTGATTTTTCCAATAAATAATCCGTTGCCTTGCCCTTATCCTCTGTCGTTACAATGTAATTTGAAGTGGGTCAAGTGGTCTGGTGGATAACGCTTTGGAGCCTCAAAACCATGGGCACTGGCTTCGAGCCTAAGTGGGAATGCTATCTTTCACCGGGGAATGCAATTACATCCACTGATGACGAGTCCTGAATAGGATGAAATACGCATCCTGTATTCCACTGCTAGCCACCATCCACCAATTGAAATATAAATAGTTATATGTGGGTTAATCTTCTTTGGAGGAGTTGTTGTTTTATTGTATGATACTAGTTTTACAAATGAATACAGTGTATAGTGTTATAAAACTTAATCGGCTGATTTGTGTGAACCTTCACCGTTAGAAAAATCTAACCCTAACTCAAACGCAAAGAAACCTCACAACAGTAACAGTACTTTTGTGGTGTATGCTACTGATAAGATTCCTCTAACAAGTCTTTCGTCTTCTACCGTTACGCTCCCAGCGTCGATTACGTTATGAACCAACACTAGTTAAAGATCATTAAAAAACCGGTATATGGTACTGGACAGCTGTTTTGAAACTGTTCAGAAGTCAGTACCTATGACCTCACTAGGAATCGAACCGTAGACATTTAGGTCACAAGGCGAATCTTTTTACCATTTAGCAACTGGAACAGGATCTAATGTCTAGTCCATGAATTTTAACATCTATCAGTTCACAATTTTTAACGCCACCGATAGACATTGTCATTGGAGAGTAATTTTTCCTCACGGTCAACCTGATGGACTTCAGTAGTCACGACTTCTCAACAGAAATCCAGGCAACTACGTCCTGTATTAAGTCATCACACTAGTGAGCATCAGAATAATTTTCAAGTAGTAGTTTGTAAGGATTTGACTTGTATGAAGTTTAATAACGGTTTGATATTGGTAAGAGAATTACTGACAACCAGCAGGGAGTGTTGGAAAGATGTTTCATCCTTTTTTAATGGTTCTTCAACTGATATAAGTCGGTGATTAAACCTGATATATGCTAACTGAAGATGAACGGAAATTCCAAATCCCCAGGGCAGGATTCGAAGTGGTGAACTGTGGATTACCTAACTTCTTGCTTTGTCAGCTGATGCTTCCAACCTAAGGTTATCCCTGATATCTTTATAGAAAGATATAAAATAAAATAACTAGAATGTATTTATAAGAAAAATCAAACACATGGTATTCGACAATCTATAATACATTTTGTCGCCATTGGTGTTGTTGTGTGTCACCATGGTGATGCCTATCTTTCGTATGATCAAATCAACTTATAGATCTCAGAAAGAAAGAAAAGAAACACAACAAGTATGACGAATATGTTTGTTTTTGTGTACGTACGCATGTATGCATGTATGCATTGAAGTACGAAAACGCTGGCGTTGTCGCGCATGCGCGCGCGCGCCCCCTTTCATTTATCATGTCACTATAACAACAAATGATTATACACAAAGTTTCGTTTGAAACAATAAAAACCGAAAAGAAAGTGAATAATTAATTCAGTGATAGAATTTTTCAGAACATGTCAAATAAATATTTTTTGTGTCATATGAGGGAGGATATTACACATTTATATATATATATATATATATATATATATATATATATATATATATATATATATATATATATAATCATTGACCTATTTTATCATTTATAATACGTAGTTCAATTACCAATGTTTGTTTTAGCAAACTATTAGTGATTTGCCACAAACAACTATGGTAACAAGTATGATTATTATTGTTATTTTCCCTCGTGGTGTATATCTAAGTGGTTGTGTTTTTTTTGAATTAGCGTAAACTATTCAAGGGTCATGGTGACATTTCTTTACGTCCTTTTCTGTCTCTCTAATCTGAAGATTGGGACATTTCTTTATTGTGATAATTAGCTTGTCATATACATGTATCTATTATGTGTTTAAGCAATGCACAACTTTAAGTCTTATTCTTTCTAGCATGGAATTATACGAAGAAAAGTGGCTCATAGCTTTTTGGTTTTAATTCCTATGGATCTTAGGATGCCTAAGTGCCGACCTCACCGTTCAGTTGTGTTAGTTATAACGCATAACCTCAACCGTTACTAGGTAGTCACATTATTAGGAGTTTACCTCAAGAAATAGCTTCCGTTTTCTTACCTACCAACCGTCTTCGTCCTGCAAGAACTCTGCGAAGTAAAAATCTGTCCCTAGATGTTGAGATCTACTATCGGTTAAGTGAGTTATTGATTAAATTCTTCTTGATCTTATTTGTTACTAGTGTTCTGAGCCTATTCGCGTTATACACTGTACTATGCTGTCATTTTCCTCTGCCTCTATGAATACCCACAAGCCCTAAATACCTTTTCACATCAAGTCCTTACTACTGCCTATCAGCTT